ACAGCCCCCCACCCCACCACACACACACACACAAAAATCACTTAACACATTTGCTTCTAGTTATGCCAGTTCAAGTCTTAAAAATGTATTTTTCCTTTACATTTATATTTTAAAAGCTTGACAGTCTCTAAAGTTTTCAATACCGTGCCTCCTCTGGACAACGGATTCAAAGTTTCATCTCATGGCAAGAATAAAATCCTGTTTTTCAAAGTTTTACCATGCTAAAATTAACAACGTTGATTTTTCCAGTAATGTATATATTTCAGCCCCTGAAAGCAATTTAAAAAAAAAAAAAGTTTAAAGTAAACTGAATTGCTTCATTGCTCTACTGGGTTTTTCCCCCCTCCATCAGCAATCTGATTTCACAACTCTTCTTCTTGTGACAAAGTTTTGTAATTTAGAAAATTTAAAGTTTCACAGTAAATTCCATAACAAAGCCAAGAGGGGAACAGGGAAGAATAGTCTCTGAACTACAGAAAAAAAAAAAAAAAAAAAAAAACCAAAAAAAACCACACACTACACACACACACACCCCTTACTACTCAGTATTTTTATACAGAGCTCATGCTCAAACAAACCAATTCCACAGATGTTTTAAGTGAAATAAGGACAGCTATTAGTGATTACTTAACAAGTAAACTTATTAAAATACCATTTAAGTACAATTTTCTTTACTTAGCCTAGCCAAAAGAAAAAAATTAAGTCAACAATTGCTAATGACTACAAAGGAATTAGATAAGCACTTCAAAAGTTCCAGATAGAATAGGGACTAGCCTGGTTCTGCTAAACTCTGACATTATCTACCTGCTTAGAAGAATAAAGATAGTTTTAAGTGATGTGTTTAAACTTAATTTTGTATTAAATAGCTAACTGGAGATTAGCTCTGAGTGAAGGACTAGTGAATACACTGAACAAAGTGACCCACAGAAAGCCAAATACACAGAAAGAACAAGGTAGCTAAAACCAAACATTTTAGCATCAGAAACGGCATAAATTGCTAGAGATATTTTAATACTATGTTTTGTAAGTATCAAAACAGCAAGTTCAACAGTTCTTTGATAAGTCTCAAATCAAAAATTTCAAACATTGACCATATATTAAAAAGGCCCAATCAACCAGGGTGAGCAGGAACATTCAACAAAAATCCAAGCTTTAGAGAAAGCTAAATAATTTTGAAAAGAACCTACAGTACATGTATGGGTAATCACCACAAGAACTGATAAATCGGCAAAATCCAGAACCATAACTTCTTGATTGCTTTCTCCAACAAACTGAACATGTTACCCTTGAATATTTTCTCCTTCACTTTCTACAAGAGTTGTGTATGTGAATCATATGGGACAACGGTTCCCAACTGGGCCTGTCAAGGGGCCACTGTTGAAACCCCAAGGCCCGGCACCCGCCCACAGGTTGGACACCAGGGGCAGCGCAAGGCTGACACCCCATCCCTTGCACCCCCTCCTCCCCCAACAGGGCTGAAGCCAGGGGCAGCACAGGACTGAAACCCTGAGCTCCCCTGTCTACCCCCCCGAAGCCAGGGGCAGTGCATGGCTGAAACTCCAAGCTCTTCCCCCCACCCCACCCCAAACACCCCTGCTGTAGCCCTGAGCCCATGGGCAGAGTTCAGGGGGCACAAGGGTGTCACTAAAACTGCAGTGCCTTACCCAGAGTGGGGTAGTCCTGCGGGCAGCTCCATATACCCTCCACCTCCTCCTCTCCCTCAGCCCCCCTCAAGCCTCACCCTCTGGCCAGATCCTAGGTGGGAAGCCAGAGCCAGGGAGAGCGGGGCAGCTGCTCCTCTGGCTAGTGGTGCCATGGAGTGGGCAGCCCTGGCATTCCCAGTCTGTTGCTGGTGCCTGGGGTTGCAGCTGCTCCTCCGCTCCCAGCCCCCTTTGACTGCTCACGCAGTTGGTCAGAACCTGGCTCTGCGGCCAGCACCCAGTCCCACACAGGTGGGTGGCCTACTGAGTGAGATGGGGGTGGAGGTGGAAAAAGGTTGAGAACCCCTGGCATAGGCTATCACACAGCATACTGAAGTTTTAATGTTCTGTTTTACAGCCTAGAGTGGTCAACCATTTCTACTCATGCAAAAACCACCTAGCCAGACAAAGTTGCAGTACTTTACAGTGTGGTACAAAGATCACTTATAAATCCATTCCATGCAAGCTTTGCCTACTGTGACATGTTTTGAAAAGACTCTCACCATTGCACTACCATGAATGCAGTTCCCCAGGAGTAGCATTAACGTAAGCTGGGCACAGGCACTTTTACCTCTGTATCTAACTTGGCTCAGAACAGCTAGACACAGGACAGCAGTATAATCACTTGCACCCTGTGCACGCTCATCATTGCTGCCCCTGGTGGAAGTGCAAAGGCCATTTCCCAAAATGTGCTAGAGTAGAAACGCCATAGCATGTTTCAAGAACGCAGGGAAGTTTCAACTGTTGACGCTATGCAGTCAGTAATTATTAATAGCAAATAAGATTCACTCAGAACCTGAAGAAAATAAGTCTCAATGCATTTTCTTTGCAGAAACATTCTCTAGTATATAAAATCAAAACACCAAACCAATTCAAATCACTGTTATTCTTAGGGGAAGGGGAAGTGAGTGAGAGGTTAGCAATACCCAGATATGTACAAAGCTTTAGTAGGTTCAAAGAGATACCAAACCCTTTTAAAAAACTCTTCCCACCACCAGCAGCCTTGGCAATATAATTTATGCCCACAGACCTACTAGAGTTTCTCCAAAGCCTTTGCAAAGCGAGACAAAAAAGAAACAGCATCCAGTTACAACAATCATAAGCAGTAGGTCAGCACCACTGCCTTCCTTCACATCTCAGACAAAGTAAGCCCTGCAAATAGAGTATTTTTTAATCCCTCCATATCAAGCTTCCTCTGGAATGCAGATTTCTTTCATTTAGTAACAAGGTGGAGGCCCTGTCAGAAAGGGTGAAATCTCCAGGTTACTGCAGCCTCAGAGTTCCTGGTTCTCCCATTCCTATTTAAGTACTTAAACCAAGTGAGAGGGAAACTATCCCCCAGTTCCCAGTCAGGAATCCAAACTGCAGAGGCATAAGCAACAAGAGCAGTCAGGGGGGCTGTTTAAATCAACATTACACTACAACAAATTGGCCCTTTGTAGCAGGACTACTGTCACCTCCCTCCAGTGAGGGGTACTCAATGAGACAGGGGCAGCCCAGTACCCAGGGGATCCCACGGGCAAGTCCTGCAGCCCCCTTCTCAGGCAAGTGCCCTGCCCACGTGGGACACCAGGGCTCGGTCCCCAGAGCCGGGCCAGGCCCAGCGCGGACAGAAGGGCTGGGGCCACATGCGGGGCACGTTCTGCACCGCGCACGGCCGGCGCTTTGGGCGCCCCTGTCGCCCCCGGGCCCCCCGCAGCCTTGGCGCCGAGACCAGGCCGAGCCGCCCCGGCCGCTCGCAACCCCAGGGACAGCAGGTGAGGGGCGCCGACCCCCGGCCAGGATGCAGGCAGGGGGCAGCGGGGAGCCTCCCGCACGCAGGGGCAGCGCGTCCCGGCTCCGCCCCGGTGCCCTTCAAGCCCCCCCATGCCCAAGGCAGCCGCCCCGACGAGCCGAGAGCAGCCCGAGCTCCGGGCCCTGCCCGCCCGCAGCCCGCACGGTGCGGCCGCCGCTCCCGGCCGAGCGGAGCCATCTTGGGAGCAGGGAGCCGCTGGCCGCCCGGCCCGGCCCGGCGCAGCCCCGCCGCTCACCTGCACGATCTCGCCCTCGGCGCTGAGGGTGGCGCCGGCCCGCGAGAAGCGCCCCTGCAGCCCCGTGGTGTAGGTGGTGTAGTCGCCGCTGGGGCTGGACTCGAAGAGCACCACCTCCACGAACGCCGTCTCCTTGGCCAGCGCGGCGCCCGGGGCCGCGGCCAGCAGCAACCCGAGCAGCAGCGGCGGCGGCACGGCCGGCCGGCGCCGGCCCCGCAGCCCCTCATCGCGCGGCGGGATGGGGCAGCGCCCAGCCGCCGCGCATCGCTCGCCAGCGGCTCCAGCTCCGGGGCCCGGGGGAATCCGGGCGGGTCAGCGCCCCATGGCGGCGGCAGCAGCAGCGGCGGCGGCTCCTCTGCCCCGCGGCGCCCAGCCCCGCGCCTCCGCCTGCCCCTCGCTCCCCTTCCCTCGCTCCGGCTCCTGGCCTGCCTGCCAAGCCGCGTCCCTTTCATCTGCTCCACGTGACAGCTACCGCGGGGTTATCCCCGCCCCCGCGCGCTGACCCGCGCCCGCCCGCCCGCCCGTCGGCCGCGGGAGCCGCCGCGCAGCACCTGGGCGGGTCACGGGCCGGGGCCGCAGGGGAGTCGGGGCCGGGGTGCAGCACCTGGCCGGGGGCAACCAGGGCCCCGCTCGGGGCGGACAGCGCTGGGCTCGCTGACCCCGCAGCCGCAGGGGAAATCGCGTTACTTTAGGGGGCCTCGAGCAGGGGACTCGTTAAAGGGTCGGAGCCGGGCGGAGAGGGGCCCTCCCGGTCCCCACGAGCCCGGTCCGCTCCAGGCACGCGAGGCTCCGCTGACGCTAGGGGGCGCCTGCCCGTGTCAAGAAGAACAGGCGTCGGCACGTGCAGGATCCGGCCTGGACACTTGGCCTTGCCTGGCTTCAGCCAGAGCCTGAGTGTGAAGTGTTGCCGTGCAGCAGAGAGCTACTCACAGGGCACGTGGAGCGGGAGAGGGCCCATAACGGAAAGCAAAGTAATAGTTCTTGGAGGTTTTAGTCTGAAAACTGACTGCTAACATGGGCTGCTTCTTACCAAGAAGACTGCTACCTACCTTTCCGTAGCTGTTGACCTTTGAGAGGGGGTTGCACATGTCCGCACTGTAGGCATGTGAGAACCTTTTTCCAAAGCAGTACCTGTCAAAGCCAGAGGGGCACCGCCTGCCACTGCGGGGGGTCTAAGAGGGTGGAACCTTCCCCCCTTTCACTTCCTTCCTACCGCCTAGACTTTACTAGAGAGGGGAAGGAAGGTGGCTTGTGGAATGGACATGTGCAGCACATTTCAAAAAACAACACTTTTGGAAAGGTACGTAACCATTTTTCCTTCAAGTGATTGCACATGTCCATTCATAGAATTCATAGATGATCAGGGTTAGAAGGGAACCTCAGGAGGTCATCTAGTCCAACCCCCTGCTCAAAGCAAGACCAATCCCCAATTCCTCTGTAGGTGACTCACAAGCAGATTAACATGGAGGCAGGCTCAGAGTCTATCTGAACAGCAATTGTAGAACAATCCATCAAAAACTGGCATAGTTCCTGGATTGATGGGAAATGGCATAATGAGCAGCAAAAGTTTGTACCGAGGACCTGGTTGGTGCTTTGCAAAGGTCTTCAGTAGGTACTTGTGCTAGAAAAGCTGCCTGTGCTCTAGTCAAATGAGCCAACAGTCTGGGGGTGACATGCTAACTGGTAGCCCAAATAAATGCAAGAGGAAATCCTCTGAGTGGAAACCAGTTTGCCTATCACCGTGTCCAGCATCACAACAAATCACTTTGTGAGGATCTAAAAAGGGCTGGTGCAATCCACGTGGAAGGACAATGCTCTCCTCACATCCACCTAATGAAGCTTCTGTTCATCTATGTGCATGTGAGGCTTCAGGAAAAATGTTGATAAATAAATTGCCAGATTAACATGGAAATTGGAAACTAGCTTTGTCAAGAATTTTGGGTGAAGGTAGAGGTAAACTTTATCCTTATGGAAAACTGTAAAAGGAGATTCTGAAACCAAGGGTCTCAGTTCACTCACTCTCCTTACTGAGGTTATTGCAACCAACCAGGATGCCATAGAAAGGTGGAGGCGGGAGCGTGGCACAAGAGGTTCAAAGGAAGGCCCCGTTAATATTGTTAGCACAAGGTTTAAATCCCATGGGGAACAGGTTCTTGTACTAGAGGGTATCATCTATCCAACCGTTTTAGAAATCTGATAGTTGTAGGGGTGGGAGAAAAAGTGATGATCTACCCTCCAGTGTGTAGTAGCGCTGAAATCGTTGCCACATGTACTTTAGTAGAACTAACAGTCAGGCCTTGCTGTTTTAGGTGCAACAGATAATCCAATCTGGTTAACGGGAACCTGCACTGAAGAGACACTTCTCTGTTGAGACCAGGTAGAAAAATGTTTCCATTTGGCCAGGTAGAAAAATGTTTCCATTTGGCTAGTTGAAGGCTTTCTCCTGTTCAGAAGCACCTTGTGAATGTCTTTTGAGCAAGTCCTTTCTAGTGGTGTTAGCCGGGAAGTATCCACACTGTTAAATGGAGGGCCTGTAGGTTGGGGTTGAGTAGACTGCAGTGGTCTGAAAAAATCACATCTGAATCTAATGGGGGAGGTAGGAGGCCTCACTAAAAGGTTTCAAGAACCAGCATTATCGAGGCCATGCTGCTGCCATTTGAATGAAGCAAGCATGTTCCTGCTTGATCTTGAATAGGACTCTGAGTACTAATGGAATCAGAGGAAAGGCATACAGCCGTGAGTTCATCGGTGATAGCTGAAAAGCATCTGTCAAAGACCCAGGTCTGGAATTCTCTCAGCAGCAGAACAGGAGGCATTTGTTGCAAACAGGTCCATGTGAGAAGTTTCCCCAGAGCTGGAAGATGAGCCTAGCCACATCTGGACCTAGTGACCATTCATGGTGAGGGGACAAAGACCTGCTCAGCTGATCTACTGATGTGTTCTGCTCTCCTGGGAGGTATCCTTCTGGCACAGTTGGGAGAAACGTGCCCTTCCCTGTCTGTTTACATAAAGCATAGTTGCTGTATTGTCCTTTAACACTAACAGTTTTTTTCCCCAGAATATATGGCTAGAAGGCAGAGCAGAGTAGATGGATAGCACGTAGTTCCCTGACATTAATATGAGTCCTCAGCTCCTGCAAGGACCACTACCCTTGAGTTTGTAGGGTTCCGATAGGTGCCCCCCAACCCAGGCACGAGGCATCCGGGACCCACATAAGCGCTGGTTGCAGAGAAATGAAGGGCACTCCCATACAAACAGTCTGAGGGTCTGTCCACCAGTCCAGAGAAGACAAAATTACCTCTGCAATGCAAATTTCTCTGTCTAGACAATGACAACGGGGCATCCTTGAAGCTTCCTGAGGCATAATCAGGTGTGTTACATCATGTGGGTACATGCTGCCATGTTCCCCAGAAGTCTGAGGCAAGCGTGCACTGTAGTAATGGGATGTGCTTTTAGATCCAGTACCAGATCTCAGAGCAGTTGGAACCTTGATGGGGGCAGAAATGCTCTGGTTTGTATAGCATCCAGGAGTGCTCTGATAAACTATTCTTTGCACAGGTTTTTAGAATTGATCTGACTTGACTGAGTAATAGACACAGTACATTGAGAGTGGACTGAATGATACCCACACTGGATAGCACTTGAGAGTTCAACCAGTCTGTCACCAACCAATCGTCCAGTTGGGGAGTGCACGGATTCCCAATCCTCTCAGATATACAACTACCTTATCTTGCACATTGTGAAAACTCAAGGGGCTGCTGCTGGCAGACCAAATTAAAGTAGTGTAAATTGGTAATGTGTTTCGTTTGTTAGGAACATGATGAACTTCCAGTGGTCTAGACAGATCACTATATGGAAGTAAGCGTCTTTTAAGTCAAGGGCAGCATACCAGTGGCCCTGTTCAGGGAAGGAATGATGGTAGCTAGGGTAACCATGGGGATCTTCATTTTCTTCAGGTACTTGTTTAACTCCCTTAGATCTAAAATACCCCCTTTTGTTTTGGGAATTAAGGAAATAGAAGGAATAAAAACTGTTCCCCCTGAGGAGTAGAGGAACTTCCTCTACTGCACCCACTGGAAGGAGAGATTAAACCTGTTGTAAAATGGTCTCCTGAGAGTGGTCCTTGAAGAGGGATGGAGAAGGGGGAGGATAGAAACAAATTGAAGTCAATATCCCACATCCACCATGCTTAGGACCCACCGAACTTATGTGACATGAGTCTAAGCACAGAGGAAGTCGTAAAGACAATAGGCAAAGGTAAGGGTAGGAACAGATTCATCTGTAAGTATTGACATGCTGCCTTTGACAAGCCTGTCAAAAATGCATGTTTAGACTGGGCCATTGGTTGAGAGGAATCTGCTGTCGCAGATGAGAGAGGCGGTGGTCAATTTCTATAATCCTGTCCCTTTTTTTTGGCAGGTCTTGGGGCTGAGGTATAAAGCTCTGATATCTGTGAGCCTTCTGGGGCCAGAATTGCTTCCTCTTCATTGCCAGTGTATAAATTCCAAGGGACTTCAGTATTGCCCTCGAATCTTGTAAGCTATGCCGCCTATTGTCCATCGTTTCTGAAAAGAGGGATGGACCCTCAAATGGCAAATCCTAGATGGTCTGCTGTACTTCAGGAGGGAGACCAGAAGATTGCAGCCATGAACTTCTCCTCATAGAAATAGCAGATGTCATGGAACAAGCTACTGAGTCTGCTGCATCCTAACTCTTGTGAATAGCTGTCCTTGCACCCCCGCTTACCCTCCTCTACCATGAGTGAGAACCTGCCTGGAATCCTCTGGTAGCCTGTCTTTAAACTTAAGGATGTTTTCTCATAGGGTAAAATCATAGCAATTTAGGAGGGCTAGCTGGTTAACAATTCTTGGCTGCAGACCTTCTGTTGAATAAGTTTATGACCAAACAGGTCCAGCCTCTCTGATTTCTTACTCTTTGGCGTCAATGCTTGGTGACCCTGACTCTCCTGCTCATGACCTGCTGCCACCACCAAAGGGCCTGGGCGGGGGTGAGAGTAGAGGGGTTTGAAGCCCTTAGAAGGGACACAGTAGCTCCTCTGTGCCTATTTCGCTGTAGGCGGGAGGGAAGAAGGGGTCTGTGAAAGTATTTTAACCAGTTCCAGAATTGCTTCATTACCTCAGAAGTACCACTCTGGCGGGTCTCACAGAAGCTAAAGTATCCACTAGCATGGGGGATTTCTCACAGACCGATTCCACTTGAATGTCTAAAACCGAGGCCACCCTTTTAAGCCGTTCTTGGTGAGTATTGTAATGCCCTGGTGATGGAGAATTGCTCAACATCTCTACAACCTCATCAGGTGATAAGGAAATGACACACCAGGATGCTGAGGCAATTGCTGGTTTGCCACTTGCGGTGTAGGAACTGCCTGAGCAACTTCTAGTTGCTCAGTACCAAGCATCAGAGAAAGTTTCCTGTGATGCCAGTGATCTTGGTGCATCCTTGAGGAAATAGACTCAGGTGAGGAAAGGACCTAGCAGAGGGAGGGACACCCCTCGGTGGCCAGACCTGGTGACGGTGGGCCCCAGGGTTGTGCATGCCATTGTCCCTTGTGACATGTCTGCTGCTGGGACGTCGAGGGCTCTGATGGAAGATAAGGTTCTTGTCTGGTATGAGACACAAAAGACTCCACTTCCGAGTCCGACAAAGATGACTGAGTCCTACGGTAATGGAGGAGCAGAACCCATGTGGTCAGGAGACAAGTAAGTGAACCCAGAGACAGCAGTGCTGGGGATATTAACAACAGCTTGCCCCTGGAGTGCACTGGCCTCCTAGGCATCAGGAGCAGCATCAGTAATGCATGTTCTTGCGGAGCTGGCATAGGCACTACAGACACTGGTACTGACTGGAACCCTTCCTGCATCACCAGGGACATTGGTATTGAGAGGTTAAGTAATTCTCTGGCGACAGTATATGCTTCTGGTATTGCTGGTATCAGGATTGGGTCTGACAAATAGAAACTTCAGGGCTGGCCTTGGCAGACATGGCACAGGTTCTGGAGTAGACGCACCTCCTATTGCAGCAGAGGCATACTGTGGGGAACGCTTCCCCTCAGAATCCCTCCCAGAGATCTTGCTTTTATCTGGCCTCGGTTATGAAGATCTTGCTGGACGAAGTACTGTGTCCTTGGCAAATCTGTCTCCTTTTCAGTACCAGAGACCGAGAATGTGGTGCCAAAGACCTCTCAGGAAGCACGCGCCGCATGAATAGTGCTGCACTTGGAGTGTGCTCTAAACCCAACGACTCCCAGGGAGGGCAAAGTGCCACCTCCATAAGGTGACAAATCTCACTGTTCTGTCTCTTTTTGAGCAAGGCTTAAATCATCTGCAAATGTGACACTTGTCACTGATGTGGGACTCCCCCAGACATCTTAGGCAGCTGGGATGTGGGTCACAGACCAGCATCGGTCTGGCACACGACCAGCAGGACTTGAACTCCAGCGAGCGAGACATGGCTCCAGTCCCAGTATCAAATAATCAAACTTGGTCCAAAAGGGACCCAAACAACTAAAACCTAATATTAACGCTACACTATATCTAATTAACTACTAAGTACTAAATGAGAAACAAACTATATACAAAAAGGGTGAGGAAAATAAACTTGCCATCGCAATACTGGATGGAAGCGCTCCAACAACCATCACTGGCAATAAGAAGGAACTGAGGGGGGTTAGGGGCGGCTCTGCCCTCTTATACTGGCACATGGTGATGCACAGATGTAGCGGGCACTTGAGCTGCCCCAACAGGTGCCACTGAGGGGAAAAGTTCTCCAATAACTGTGCATGAGGCGCACACTCACGTACAGTGAATGGACATGTGCAATCACTCAGAGAACCCCTTTGTTGTATTCAGAGTTGCACATAGTTGCTTAACTAAAGAAAGATTTTAATGGGATTTACTCATGTTAGCACTGCTAAGTCACTTTTCAGTGCCCATCCATCTAGATTCTTGTACTGTGCCCATCACCACAGTATCCAAGCTTTATATGGTGATTAGGCATTTATAAGATGCCTCTAAAACATTGTCATAGATATCTGACTCTTGAGTGAGCTGAATTCTAGTTGAGGTGAAGAGTCATCAACACAATAGTTAAAAATACTGCAGCTGGAACTCAATTATGGTTGATGATGCACAAGCCAACAAGAACTCGGCTGACTTCCACATCCCACTGCAGTCTGCAGTGCTAGCATCTGCTTAGTTTACAAGCTGGATTTCATTTTTCAGGCTCACTGTGTATAGATACATGCTCAGATAGTACAGTGCCTTATAAGAGGCTAGCTAGGTAGGCATGACAGAATCATGGAATCCCATGAAGCTCTATTTTTGGTCACTTTTCAGACTATAGCCACAAGTTAAGTAAATACCATTCTGATTTGATACACCTTGAACTATTGACTTGTATGTAATTTTCGCACTTAGAAATTCAAATGAAAGACTAATTTCTTTTAATGGCATTTTACCCCTTGGTATATGTACTGCATTATTTTTATTTATACAATGCCAAAAAGTGTGCTTAGCATCTAGACATTTCTTGGTGTGTGCAGTTGTTACCAAAAGGGTGATTAGATATTTGATCTCTAGGTTGACAACTTCTGATTTTACGACCAACTCAGACACATATAGGATCCCTTCTTTAAGTAGTTCCCCTTCACTTCCCTCCAATAAATAATGGAAAGGGACATCCCTACCTCTCAATCTTCAAACTTACCAATACATGACAAACGACCAGCTGATCATAGAATCATAGATTATAGGACTGGAAGGGACCTCGAGAGGTCATCGAGTCCAGTCCCCTGCCCGCATGGCAGGACCAAATACTGTCTAGACCATCCCTGATAGACATTTATCTAACCTACTCTTAAATATCTCCAGAGACGGAGATTCCACAACCTCCCTAGGCAATTTGTTCCAGTGTTTAACCTCCCTGACAGTTAGGAACTTTTTCCTAATGTCCAACCTAGACCTCCCTTGCTGCAG